CGGCCTCTGGAGGAGGACTCCGCCTCGCCCAACCCTGAGGCCGCGGGCTCTGCCTCGCTCAACCCTTGGGTCTGGGCTCCGCCTCACCCGGCCTCTGGGGGAGGACTCTGCCTCGCCCGACCCCGAGGCCAGGGGATCCGTCTCACCCGACGGAGATCCATACCGCCGCCAACCACTCCAGGTCTAAGCGAATGGGCCTGAGTCAAAGCTCTGACACCAGGGAGGTGACTGGCACGCCCTGATATAACCCGTGGCCGTGACGGGCCATACCTGGGGATTCACATCAGGAACAGCGTCAGGCATACCGGTACTGTTCTGCCTAACCCTCGTGCGGGCACTGACAGGCGTGTTAGTTCACCATGACATCCGCCAGGACGGAGTGGAACTCCAAGACCGAGAGACGACGCCTGCGCATGGCGCCATTGACGGATAGGGCCATGATGTGGAGCTGTCTCTGTTGACGTCTACAGGGTCGGCAGGACCCGCGTGAAGGAAAAGAAGAGCCCGACGATCCTGGAGGACTTCTCCTTCTCATTCTCCCCTTTTCCCTCGACTGTAACCCGTGCTTTCCCTTGCCTATAAAAGGGAAAGCAGGGCGTCCCATAAAGGGGACTCGACTCGACTCGATCGCATTGAAACAGATCGCACCGATTCGGACTCGAACTCCGAACCGATTAGAACACATAAGCACATAGCCGAGAAGCGACCGAGCTCTCGGCACCCATTCGTTCCTCTCACCAGAGACTTGGGACATGTCCCTCTCTCGACCATTTGTAACCCCTACTATGAACTTTCAGTGCTAGTAACACGAGCAGCAACAACAAACTGGACGTAGGAACATTCTGCCTAAACCAGTATAAACCTCGTATCCTCTTAGTACACCATCCGAGCCAGACGTGTAATATTAGAAATTTACTTGTTGGTGGCAACTCGAAACACCGACATGAGGATTCTTGTTGGAGTTGCTCTAAGAAGCACTGAATTACTTAGGCCCTATTTGGATCCATGAGATTAACAACTAGCTAACTAATTTTTAGCCCCTAAAGGATCCAAATAGATGGGCTACTTATTAGGGAAGCCCACAACTAGTCGTTAGCCACTATTTAGCCAAACTTAGCTAATTGGGACCAACAACAGCAACCAATCTTGAAAAAAGTCTAAAACGCCCTCCCTACTATGGGTGTTCTAGGGGCCAAGGGGCGTAAAATGTTTTTGTGTGAGAATACTATTATGTATTATCAAATCCAAACAACACAGGTCTATTTTTTAGCTAGCTAATTATTACTCAACTAACAATTAACTCTAGCTAATAACCAACTAACAGTTAGTCCTAGTCCATCCAAACAAAACTTTATAGGACTACATGCATGTTAGATATTACTAAAAAATATAAGGACTTCTAAGTAGTACCTATTAGAGCAAGTATAATAATGGTTTTATAGCCAAGCTAGTCAACATTTTTTGTTGATGCAGAGAATAGAATGGGAGAGAGAGAGAGAGAGAGAGAGGTTTGCTCTCATGTAAGCAAAAGCCAGGCATAGGAGCCTATGAAGTGATGATCCCAGATAGCAAGAGGATGTGAGGAGAAATATAAACTAGAATATGAGACATGGATTAAAAATAGTATCATATAATAAAAAAAAGCTTTGGTAGCGGTTGCAGCCCGAAGCTATAGTGAACATGCCCATAGTCTTTCTTCTCCTATATATGTTACTGTATCCATTTGAAATTAGGGCTCCTTTGAAATGCAGGAATTGGAAAACATAGGAATAGAAAGCGTCTTTCTTCTCCTATATATGTTACTGCATCCATTTGAAATTAGGGCTCCTTTGGAATGCAGGAATTGGAAAACATAGGAATAGGAAAAACGTAGGAATAATATAGGGATGCATGTGTAAAATAGAGGATTGTAAAACGTAGGAATGTTGGGTGAAAGGTTGTTTGGTTGGGTCACAGGGAAAAATGAAGGATTCATTTTACAGGAATATCAAAATTGAATAAAAATAACACCAAATGCATGCTTTGCATGTGTTTCTTCTCTCTGAGGTTGGGTAGGACAAGCTATAATGGAACATTAGGCCTCCTTTGGTTCACGGAAATTTTATAGGAGAAATGGAGGATTCCCTTTCCTATAGGATTCAACACTGTAGCACCCTTTGGCTCATAGGATTAAACCATAGGAAATGTAAAGGAAACATTCCTTCACAGCTCATTCCATAGGAAAAGTACAGGAAAAAACATCCACTCCTATTTCTTTATTTCTCTAGCTTGCGTAGGAACGAGGCATATCAAGAGCCAAATCACAAGTATCACAGAGAAATAAAGAGCTAGAGGACAAACATCACATCACATCACATCATGGGAGATTAGACATTCTTATTCCTGTGAATTTTCTATAGCCATCCAAATACCTACCTAAAATAGTTTTTCTGTGTTTTTGGATCCTATGTTTTGCAATTGCATTCCTGTAAAGTTCTTATATTTTTTCTATTCCTATGTTTTGCAATTCCTGTGTTCCTATATATTTTAGTCATTCAACTCCTCGTACTTCGTGCATAGGAATTTTTCCAAGAGGTATGAGTGGATGTTACAAATCCTATGGAATCAACACATAGGATAGAAAATCCTATGAAAATCCTATGGAATAGTAGTAGTGATTCATGCCAGCCAAACCATAGGACAGGAAACTTTTCTTCACCAACAATATTCCTCTAAAATTCCTTCAAAAATCATGTGATCCAAAGGAGCCCTTATAGGTTTTTCTGACTTTTCTAGGTATAAAGTTTTTCTATGTATCTAGATATACACAAGGTTTAAATATATATATTTTACTACTGTAGATACTCACTGTTTTTTAAACGAATAAATAGGCACTGTCTGCACCCTTTTCAAAGTGGAGCCTGATTTGCAACCTGCGAGAGCGAGGGCCCTAAACGCTCTGTCGATCAACTTGTATATAGCTGCATGTAGTAAACGCGCTGTGGATCTCCTAATCCCAGCAGTCATCTCATCTCTCGTCAGACACACCAGCAACACACTGTTGATTGATGAATGAATACACTACGTCTGGACGTCTGGTGCTCAAACACAGCACTACTTTTGGTGTTTTCAAGGACCATGTCCGTGACAAGGAAGTGACGCAAATATCCTGTTGTAGTTTGGCGAGTCACAGTTCATCTATGCCTGAAAACACTTGGCAGCTGCTTCCACCTCTCAAGATATCAAACTGAATTACTGAAAACAAGTTCAATTCTCGTATGAAACGGGAAGAGTTCACCGTTTCGAAATGGAGCCTCAGATTTACAGCAATAATTAATTAGCAAACATACAACGGTGTCATCAATTAGGTGATATATGGGCTGACGACTCTATGTATCAGCGTTTCTGAACGTATCATTGCAACTCACGCCCTGTCTTGCCGGCCAAGCCCCGACGACGACGAGGAGTCGCCGCCAGTGCCGCCGCCTTGATGGCCGAAACCCCCTCTGCCTCCCATTGCCATGTGATGCTGCTGATGTTGTTGTTGCTGCTGCTGCGGCTGCGGCGAGCCGTACATGGGCTGCCCCATCATCATCATCATGCCGCCGGCGCCGGGCGCGCCGTACCCGGCGTACCCGCCGGCATTGGCGGCGCCTGTCGGCACCTCGCCCTGCTTCTGCTGCTGCTGTTGCGGGGCGGTGGAGCCCGAGGCGCCGGCGGACGCGGCGGCCCTCTCGCCCTCGATCTCGCGGAACTTGTGGAGGTAGTGCTTGAGCGGCTCGACGTAGTCCTCGAAGCCGAGCGTGGTCATGGCCCAGAGCAGGTCGTCGCCGTTGATGGTCTTGCGCTTCTCGCGCTGGCACTTGTCGGAGGCCTCCCCCGTGACGAAGGAGATGAACTCGGAGACGCACTCCTGCACCGTCTCCTTGGCGTCCTTGCTGATCTTGGCGTTGGCCGGCAGCGCCTTCTTCATGATCCGGCTCACGTTGGCGATCGGCAGGAACCGGTCCTGCTCCCGGGGCGACGACAGCTCGCCGCCCGCGTTGCTCGGCCCGCCGGAGTCGTTGTCCGAGTCCGGCATCGCTAGCCGGCCGAGCCTGCCGTCCCTGCCTCCCTGGACCTCGCTCCCTCGCTCCTCTGCCTCAGCAGCTCAGCTCAAGGCCACCGAGCAAGCAGAGGGGACTGACGATGCTGATGGATGCATCAACAGGGACACCACCTGGAATGGGCGAGCAGCTCTGTATGATGCGAGAACAGGAGCAACGAGAAGGAGCGAAATTTGGCGAGAACCAGTGTTGGCAAAGAGATTTGGATTTGAAGCTGGAGAACAGCAGCGAGAGGGGAATGGGCGGGTCCGTTGGATCGCGCGGATAAGAACGCATCCAGCTCGGAACGTGGTGCGCCTCCCGCCGTTCGTTTGCTGATAAGTGTGTGCCACCTGGCGATTCCGCCTCCGTGGATGCGCGCCACGTAGGATCCATCCAGGCCGTCGCCGTGGGCCCGGGAACACGTGGGACGGCGCCCGGCTCGTGAGGTGCGCAAGTGGCCGGTTTGCCACCTAGGACGCTGCACTCAGTCCAGGTGAGAACCCACCACCACGGCACCACGAGAAGATGAATCAAGGAAAGCGCAAAAAAACCCATTCGGGCTTCTGATGCAGATGAACTATACACAACGTAATGTTTGGAAACACATCCTGCTCTGAATTTCTTGGTTCCAACATACAACAGGGCAAGGGCAACTGGATACTCTATTCCAGTTTCCAGTAGTCTAGCGCTATACACATCAAGCTAGACCCGGCATAATTTACAACAAACAATCTGGCCATATCTAGGTTCTAGCTGACTAACCTAACCATTCCTTCGGGCCAGACCTTAAACTTCCCATGACTCTGCATAATAAGCTATCATACAAGAGTTAGGGCATCAGTGACAATCTCTCAAGTGGGACCCTACATCAACTCTCTTACAATCTACATAAGCGGGATCCTATTCGAACTCTTACAATCTACATCCATCTCATCACGCTGGGCCTCCTTCAGCTGTGCCATCGCTGTTGCCTTTCACATCAACATCAGTCTTTCCATTCTCGGCAGTACCATTCTCGCTTGAATTGGCATCATCAACTTTGGTGTTTTCATTGTGCTCAGCATCTTCAGCTTTACTATTGCTGACACCGTCTGCTTGACTCTGTTCCACATTTATATCGCCTTCTTTTGCTTCGCCGTCTCCATCACCATGGATTTCTACATTTGCACTGTTCTCATTATGGTTAGCTTCGTGAGCTTTGTCATCTCCAGTGTGTTCTACGCACTCATTATTTCCATGATTGTAAGACTCTTCAGCTTCTGCATTGCTACCAACATTCCCACTCCTGCTTCCTTCATTTCCACCATCTTCAGTGTCATTGTTTTCTCCATTTCTGGCATCTTTCACTTTGCCATCTTTTTACCCTTCTAGGGTTTCAACATTGTTCTTCATCATCTTAACTTCGACATTGCTTGAATCTTGTAGTTGTGAGGTACAATAACTGTTTGCAATGGGTGCAAGTGCAACCTTTTCACCATTGCCATCCTTAGTTATGTTTTTATTCGTTGTATCAGTGTCAGCTTTGTGGCCTTCTGAACCTTCAGCAGCATAATGCCTGTTTCTCTTGAAAGCAGACTCCACAGAAGCCCCACCATCGATACTTATTTTGTTAGTACTGTCATTTGCATTCATTAGACTGTCTTTAGTGTTGCTATCTCGACCAGCTTGAAGTACATTTTGCTTGTTGGTACCCGATTCAACTGTTTGAACTTGTGCCATCTCTGTGGCAGCTTGCTCAGCTCTAGCCTTCGCCTCAGCTACTTCCGGCTCTTCCAATTCCTTCTTCTCTGCTTCGTCTGCTAGCCTAAAGAGCTCCTCTTCTATAACAACAACAACAACATAGCCTTTCAGTCCCAAACAAGTTGGGGTAGGCTAGAGTTGAAACCCACCAAGAGCACCAAGTCACGGTTCAGGCACTTCAATAGCTGCATAAGAAAGTCAGAAAGCAAGTCAGAAAGCTCAACCAGCTAAAAAGCAATGAACGTTCAGGCTTCATAGATGCTTTCACATCAAAACACGACCAAACATATCTGCAAGGATCAGATATAGAAGGCCTCTGGAAAGGTAAGCAAAGACATAGCGACTTCTTTTACAACATCTCCAAATGTCATCTGAAAAAGGCGAACAGAAAAGAAACAGACAAATGTTAACTATAGGATGAATAATACAAAACAATTATTGTATCTTATAACTCAACAACAAAACACGCAAGTTAAAGATAAATGATGTACAGTGTATCTCACCGTGGCAAAGTCCGCGGTATCCAAGATAAGAAAGACAGCTTCCCTCAGCTCATCCTTACTTGGTTTGATTGCCTGTTTTCGAGGTTTTGTGTCTCCTTTAGACTCCTGTTTACCTTCAATGGAAAAAGAATACAGCGTTTTCAAAATGAGGAACTAGTGGTCATCCAACCTGTTAGAAGATCATTAAGCTTTCATAATCATGAAAGAAAAAAGATATCGTAGGAACACCTAAGCAACCTAGCAGTTGATCACAATAGGCAGTGGTGGGTGGTGTTGAAGAATGGTTTCAAGTCTCATTCTCCTTCAAACAAAAAATACACAGTTTTTCCTTCTACCTCAGCAAAACTAGCTATTACTTGAAAGTTAGAACCGGTCTATAGTTAAAACCAATTCTGTTGAAGTTCTGTAGTCAATATAATATAAGTACTATCAACTACACAGTCCCTTGTTAGGCAAGCACACAGATTACTGTATTTATGTTGCTCTCGTGTTTCTTTCTCTAAAAAAGTACTTTCCAGGCCATGCACTTGAATTTTTTCATACATTTGAATGTTCTTGATTTGTACAAGCTCTTTTACTCTAACCTAATAATTCATATCCATAAACATTTGATTATGAACCCCTCTATCAAACGAAGCACTTAAACTCCGCTCTACATGAATGATCCTTTCTGGAATAAGTATACACCATATAAATCTCTTTGTAGTTATAGTAGTAATTTAGTAAAGAACTTTTGCAGATTCTTCTGGGCTCTAAACATTGTTGTCTGACTTTGAAGGATGCTGTGGAACATGTTCTAGTTTCTTTGTTACCAATTCAGAAACAAAAAGATTAATTTACTACAGGTCTCTTAATAAAAAAATTGATCAAGGGGAGAGAAATTCCCTTGATCACCACACCATTAGTGCCTCTGCTATAGGTTGTTAGGGTCGATGGATGTGTACCTCTGTGTAACCCGTAGATCCGGTGTGAGCCTTCTCACCCTTTGCGCGTTATTCACCGCTCTGTCCATGACGCCGCAGCAGCTTGGACGCCGGTGTAGGGGCAGCTCCGGGTCGGTGGCGAGACGGCGAGGTAGCGATGCCGTGGAGATCCAGAGGGGACGGTGGTGACCCTGCAGACGACGGCAGTGGTGGTGGCGAGCACATCCCGTCGCTGGCAGCACGCTTTAGGATCGGATTAGGGTTTCTCTTTTGGTGGGTGTGGCGGCTCCAGTCAACCTCGTAGTCCGAGCCCTCACCCCCACATTCCTTTTATGTGTGCCGTGCGACAGGGGCCCTCCAACCGAGTTAGGGTTGGGCTCCCCCGATCAGGGAGCAGAGATAGGGCCCAATAGGCCGTTGGGCCTATTGGTGGAGATCAACTAACATAGGTCCCTCGGTGGCTGGATAAAGTATAGGTGGTCAGTTACACCACCACATTATAAAGTTATCTAGGGTACCTTTTCCAGCCACAATAGCAATAAATCAATAAAAACCAGTCCAAGCAAATATTATTCATGGCGCATTCCTGAATATTAAACATAGCTTTCTTTGTTTTAAGTGTTTTATCCACATGTAGATAAACAGCACATGCAGGCACAGGTGCATAAGTAGCAGCAAGTCATCCAGAAGCATACCACATAATTTGACTTTGCAATCTTCCTTAGGAGTTTCTTTTTCTTGGTCATATAAGACATTTTCCTTTTTAAAGCCTTCACGTCAGTACTGTCACCCGCAGCAGCTGTAACAAACTTTGTAGGTGGTGTGGTTATTATTACTTGTTCATCTGTAGGAATTGGCTCTTCACTGAGTGATGCTCCATCTAAATTCTCTGACACAGAGTCATTTATCCTCTCAGAAGGCTCAAAGTTGGTCTGTTCATTTGGGAATCCATTCTTACTATCAGCACATGAATATTTGTTGTCCATCAAATCACAGTCAGAATGTTTTCCTCTATCCTCCACACCCTTGCTCTCGTCTGCTTCCTCTTCACCTTCTCGTTTCTTTTTCTAGGTAGTCCAAAATAAATAATTATATAAAGTAAAAGTAATTTTTGCTAAGGAAAAGGCTGGATGATTTTGCAGACCATGCTATATATAAAACCCTAATAATCATAATATCTTCAAATAAATTAGGAACTTTTGTGATGCTAAGGAAAAGGCTGGAAGCATACAAACATAATTCTAAACGAATGTGTAAAGACAGTTTACCTTTGAAGGTTTACCAGTAGACAAATTTTCATCTTCTTTTACACGCCTTCTTTTCTTGAATTTCTACAATAGACAAGACACATGAAAAAGAATTAGAGCGCCAATGATGATAGGGCAGTAGCTTAAGTTACGGTTAAAACGACAACATCTGCTATCATTTCTAGATAAGTGTTCTAAAAAATTGTTATGGCCAAAGTAAGCTGCAGTTTAGGACCTTATCAGAGTTTATGCCATCACCAGAACAGTGATCCTTAATGAATTCCGTCAGAAACAATACCAGTTCCTCCTGAAAAAGAAACAAAATTGTTTTGTAATGTGCACCATCAGGCAGGTGAGAATAGAAAATTCAAGTTTTACGCTGGATCAACCTTCCTATTAGCTCTTGAGCCAATGACATCAAATGAACGACACAGTTCGATTAGCGTATCTCTTTTACAGCTCTTGAGCTTCTCCAGTATCAAACATGGTGTAACACAATAGTAGACAAGAAAACACACTGATTCAGTACCACCAAGCTGTTACCGAATCACAACATACCTCTTGATTGTGACAATCATGCTCAATGAGTTGGAGAATTTGCTCTCTTAAGTCAGTTACCAGGTACGGTTAACCAAACTAGGAGTTATTCCAGAGGACTGAAGACAATCTACAACCATCTAACTTGATTCACATTTAGCAAACAAATATACTGCATGCTCGATTCCTAGATTTGGTTCAGTGCTACAATAAAGAAGCATATCCATCTAATTCACAGCTTCAGCATCTGTTTATACCATGCCAGTGAGAATCATTAAGACAGTGATTAGTTTTTACAGGCTGAGGGAACAATTAGGTGCTTACAGTGATGGTCCAAGCATCGCCAATCTATCAATGCTTAAACAAGTGCAGAAAGTTGCATCAGTACACCTATCAATTAGCATGCCACGGCCACCTCCTCAATGAATGTGCCAGACCTTGTTTCAGTGGCTGGTAAAGTTTCCTATGCCTAAAAGACCAAGCAATTAGCTTGCATACATGAGGAACAAGCTAATGCGCCTTGTGGGAGTTGCTAGTCTATCTTTAAGTTCTTAATGCTTTTCATGCAATTATGCAAATGCAGTACATTAACGAGATGTGAACGCCAAGGCCCTCCAAGGCAATGGAACTTAGCAGTGATTCGAATAAAGACAAGCCACGGCCCACAGGTAAGGAAATTCAGCTTGACGTCTCTGTACCAACGAAAAACCTACTGATTCTTTCTCAACGAAGACCCAATTAGGCTGCTTCATCAGCTTAGTCTCTGAAGCAACCTACAGAATGGCAAAGAAAACATAGCAACCATCAGGGGCGGACCAGTAAAGGACATGGGTGTACACATGTACACCCTATAATTTCTGCAAGGAAATCGAAGTTACTAGCCATAATGCATGCATATACACCTGTAATTAGGTCAGATCCGAACACAAACAGTAAGATAGGGTTTGGGGTGCATGGTTTCGCACAACAGGCAGGGAAGGAGGGCGTACCTGGTGGTGCTCGTCGCCGGCGAAGGGGCCAAAGAAGACCTGGGCACCGTGCTGGCAGTCCCGGCTAAAGCTCGCCTAGGCCAGCTGCCGCTTGCTGCTTCAGGCCCCGTCGGAGCTCGGCCGTGCGCGGGCAAGGTCGGCCAGCGGCACGCTCGAGACAGTGCGGAGGGGAGCGGACTGCGGGAGGAGCCACCGGGCGGGGAAGGTAAGTGATAGGATTTAACTTTTTACCGTTGGCACTTGGCACTCCACTTTACGACTTGACCTCGTAGAACTGCCACGTAAACCGTTAACATTGTAGTACATGTGACATCGAATATTTGTGGTCTATGTATGGAGCATTAAATATAGATGAAAAAAAAACTAATTGCACAGTTTGGTGGGAAATTGCGAGACGAGCGTTTTGAGCCTAATTAGTCCATGTTTGAACACTAATTACCAAATAAAAACGAACGTGCTACAGTAACCCCAAATTCCAAGTTACTGTAACTAAACACACGCTACCTCTCCTTAAAAAGATGCACCTGCTGCATCTCGGTGTATTCAAAGTTTACTAAATAGATAAAATATTAATATTTTTAAGGCCAAATAAATATACTATAAAAATATATCTCATAATAAATCTAATACTAAATGGTATAAATATTTATATTTTTATATATAATTGGTTAAACATAAAATTCTTTAACTTGATATATTGTGCTAGAATTATATTTTTTAGACGAATAGAGTAGTATCTTGGAGGTGTAATTTGGACCATGCCTTACGGGCATGACACGACTCTTTCGTACTTCGTGTGGTTTGTATTGTGCTCTCTAAATACACGAGACACGTCAAGCCGTGTTAATATGATACGGTGAGTCTTTGCTTCATCCCAAACATGACCCATAACACGTCTTCACATCGTGCTGGTGCAAGCACGATTCTCAAAACATCTTTGCTAGTTTTCTTTATAAATCGATGATATTTAAAAATATTTTATATGTTTTATTTTATGAAAGTTTCAATTATTTTTGTAATCCATTCAAGAATTAGATGAGAAATAGTATAGTAAATATTAGCAAATTGCATTGTAGTATTATAGATGTGGTTACATATCATTTTCATGTCGTGTCAGTCAAGCATGGCTCAAATACGGGTCGGTCATGTAGCTCATCCTGCCAAGATTCTAGGCACGGCATGGTCTTTGCATTCGTGTCATACCGTGCTTTGGGTACTACCCAAACATCGTGGCATGACCTGTTCTCAAATGGCACCGTTCAAGTTCTAGGTGTACATGTGCGATTGTTTTCTTTTTCTCTGCCGTGCTTGGCTCGCATGTGGGAAGCTGACTACCGCTGGCCTGGCTGAGTTCACGCAAAAGAAATTTGTTTGGATGGCAATATGCATGTCCTGCTCCAACTGAATTGATGCCTGCAGCCTGTTCGCTTGCTCGTAAACGATCGTAAATTTCCAGCTTAGAACAGTGTTTTTCTCTTATACCAAACCAACCAGCAGTAAATAATCCACGATACGATACGGCATCCGAACAGGCGGCTGGATTCTTGATAGCTGCACGCACTGTAGCAATTTTTGGTCACTGCTCGCAAGGCCGTCCGTGGTCTGGCCAGGTGTCATGGACTGGGCCGTCAGATGGGCCAGAGACAGGCTGCTATGTGGGCTGGGTCGGAGAAGGGGCTTCAACTCTACCAGAAGAGCCAGCATCGTGTGGAACGATCCATCGAACAGAATACCAACAACCCCGACTCATCTCCCTCCTCCGTCCAGGCACCGACTCCCCTGCTGTTCTTGCTAACTCTCCCAAATCCCTGCTATTCCCAGTCTAGATTTCCTCTAATTCTTCTCAAATTGTATCCTAAACTCTTGTAATTGCTACCCAGTAGTGAAGGATTGTTACAATTGGTTATCAGAGCCTTCGGTTCTTGAGCCCCAAAATTTCTCCCAAATTTTGTCTCCCAAATCGATTGAGCCCCATAGCTTTCATGGGAGGTGTTCTTCGTGTCACCGTGAGCCACATGCCTTGGCCCCTGCCTTGGTCCCTGCCAGATGAGGTTCTGCTCCAGGTTTTGTGTTAATTTCTGTGGATCGACTAGGGTAGATCTAGGCGGATGACACTTGGATCCGTAATAGCACATGCATATCTAAACCTAGAACACTACACCGAGAGGGAGATAGGGTAAGGATGCTGGTGTTGAACCTGAGCCCTCGGAGGGAGTCGCGGTCGAGCTGGCCATCTCAGCTTCGGTGATGGAGGCAGCACACGGGCAGCGACGGGTGGAGTAGAGGTTGCACGGACGTCGATGCAGTGTAGACGGAAGACGAAGTCAGCGGAGCTTTCCGTCGCTGGCTGCGTGCCCTCTTAGATCGGTTTAGGGTTTGTCGGTGGGGTTTGCGGCTCACGGCGAACCTCGTACCTCAAGCCGTCGGCCCTCACCTCTTTATATAGCGCAGTGCGATGGGAGTCCACCAACCATGTAGGGTTGGACGCCCCCGATCAGAACGTGTGACCCAGGCCCAATAAACCGTTGACCCTATTGGCTGGGAGATGTAACACTTTCGACCATACGGCGACAACAAGGTGTTTGTTCTGGAGAGGACGAGTTGTATGGTGGCGTACATCTTCTTCCACCCAGATCATGATGCATATGAAGCTCAAAGGGCACTCCATGGACGCTGCATCTATGATAACTGCTGCTGGATGGATGTCCAGATGGTGTCGCGGCCTTCCACCTGCAGCAGCGGTGTGGAGGCCACCAAGACCGCCCCTGCAGCAGCTACGCCATCAATTCAGCCATCTTGCACGACCTCGCCGTCCGTGACCTCCGCCCCGACGACGACGGTCACGACAGCAGCTGCGCCGCCCACGCCGGCAGCGCCCTCGGGTCGCGTCCCTGCATCAGCTCCGACCTCGACTCCATCCTCGACGTCCACGCCTGCAGCGCCCTTGGCCGCGGCCACGACTCCGTCACCGACGCGCACCTTCCTTCGGTTTCCGACGCCGCCGTTTCTCGCAGCGACAAAGAAGGTCATCAAGAAGGCGTCGAGGCTGCGACACGCAAGAACGGCCATCTCCGCGGACGTGGGCGCCACGCAAGCCGCGGGCAGTGCCGCCGCCACCGGGCGGGTTAGCGCGGCAAAGGCTCCGCAGCCTGTGCTTCCTTGACAAGACCCCGGAGGGAAAGGGAGGTTGGATGGCCATCGACCGCCGCTTCGCCGACTTCGCCGCCCACCTCGCCACGCTCGCGGGATACCCACGGGATGTCTGCGTCAAGCACGACCGAGGCGCGCTCGTCTCTGTCGACTGCCGCTTCGCCAACTTCGGCGCCCGCACCACCGCGCTCGTCTTCGTCCACGACGACAAGGCTCTAGAGCACCTCGCCCTCGAGTTCGACCGGGACGTGCTCGTCTCCGTCGACATTGCCGCGGTGATGGATCACTGTGCCCTTGACGAGATGTTGGGTGCGCTCTGTGCCGCATCCGCTGCCGCCATCATCTTCTTCAACCTCGCACCTCGGCACCTCGCACCACCATCAGGCCCGTGATGGCGTCACTCGAGAGCGACGGGGTGGACGACGCAGCAGTACGCGACCGTGCGGCGAGTTACCCATGGCGGGAAGACCATGTTCCTCAACGACAGCGACAACCCTTACTGCGGCAACGGCTTCACCAACCCCTACTGCGCAAGATGATGCGCCCTCGATGGTCCCTGCTGCTGCCTTGAGCAGGCCAGGCGCTCACTCCATTCATGCATCAAAGGTGCTCGACAAAATGTGGAGCCGCCACTCATGTACCAGCAAGGTACTGCTGTCACCGGCAAAGACCCTAGAGCTTTGCGCGGAGGAGGTTCCCAAGCTTGTCATGCCTCTACGGATTCCGGTGGAGGCGTCTGTTAGAATGCTGAGCAGGTATACCAATTTCCACCCTACCCACTCGGTTGCCAAGGGGAAGTGTTCACCATATATGCAGTTTGCGATGCTGAGATCTGGGGGTCAGATCAGGCCAATTCCATGGACATCTTTTTGTGTTGTATGGAGAAGTCACTGTCAGTAGAACTGGCTATTTCCAAAATAGAAGTGCAGGCATTGGGTGGTTGTCAAATGAACATACAGTTCCGTGTCAGTTGGTCACAGCCTGATTGGACATGGAGCTTTGGCTAGCCAGATTATGACTTGTATTCCATATTGAGCTTCAGCTTCTCATTTGCAATTCAGCTCCTTATATTGGTGCCATTATTGGATAATGTTTACTGCTCAGCTTGTGTCCAGAGTACTTGCAACCTTCTTCGCCACGGGCTCAGCTTATGTATGTGGAGCACAGCTGCTGAGTTGCAACCTAATAGTGGCGTGGTACCCATTCTACATGTGGTGCTCAATGTGCATAATTTCAGAAACCTGGACAATCTGTTGCCTTGGGATGGGTCTGTCAGTTCTCATCATGACTGTGCTTTGGGCAGTGTAATTGGAGGCTCCAATAACAAGCACATACTTATTTTTGGACTTCAGATTTTTCCATGGCCACCGGATCAATATGACATGCAAGCTGCAAATGGTATCGCAATATGTTCTGTTTTTGCACTGATAGATCACAGATGCATGAGTGGAGCTGATGCAAGTGCTATTCCGAGCTTTTTGATTCATACAACACTGCCACCCTTAGTTCAGTCAACAAATTTTTCTGAGATTTTCCAACCCTTCAGGAGCTTTCAGTATGGGTCATTTCCATGGACGCAATAGGTTGGCTGGTGTTCGACCGAGGAAAATGCATGGAGAGCGCCTATGCTGTGATATTGAGGGAATTGTGGACACCGACCTAGGAAATGTTGCAGCATCTATGGCTTATTGTTGAGGCAAGAATCAGTTGTGTTACATCTCACTTGACCCCATGGCCACCTCCTGACAGCAAGATAAGAGTGTTGCAGCTATGTTTTAGATATCTACTTGTTTGTCCAAGTTGGCAGAAAGTGCAAGATGGAGTTACCGTGTGGTGGTATGACATTAAGCTAAACACTGCCATTCTCGCTGAGAAGCACTTTCCTTTGTATGATGAGTTGGCTAGCAAGATTAATGTTGAATATATTGCTGGAGGAGCCACCCATAACTCTATCAGGGTTGCCCAATGCATGCTTCAAATTCCTAGAGCAACAAGTTACAGGAAATGCATCGGGAAGGACAGGTGTGGTGCTGTATGTATTGCTGGTGGTGAAAGGTCCTTGATTCAAAATCTGTTGGCACCACATTGTTACCAATCTGATCATCTAAAAAGACCAGTGAACTGGGCAATAGTTGAGAAGCTAGTTGCTGAGCATGCTGCAGCACATGACGAGGTGTTCCTGATGAACCTCTCTACTCCCTTCATCTGCAAGCGAATGAGGATAGCTGCGATTCCTCAAAGTGTTGATCCAGTGGTTGTTGCTGAAACGAAGGTGATGCATCATTGGAGGCTTTCTCTCTCAATTGAAAGGTATGCTGATGATTTGACGCGGCTTGAGGGCAAGCTGCATTTTAAGCGGCGGGGAATGTCATGGACTGGGCCGTCAGATGGGCCAGAGACAGGCTGCCTAGTGGGCTGGGTCGGAGAAAGGGCTTCAACTCTACAAGAAGAGCCAGCATCGTGTGGAACGATCCATCGAACAGAATACCAAGAACCCCGACTCGTCTTCCTCCTCCGTCCAGGCACCGACTCCCCTGCTGTTCTTGCTAACTCTCCCAAATCCCTGCTATTCCCAGTCTAGATTCCTTCTAATTCTCCCCAAATTGTATCCCAAACTCTTGTAATTGCTACCCAGCGGTGAAGGATTGTTACATCATACTCCACGCAAACAAAGCCGAAGCTTAATCAAGCTATCCCCCAATCAAGCGACAAGCGGCATCTATCGGGCTTGGTGGGCTAGAACCAGGCAACCAATCGTGTCCTACGTCTCACCTCTTCAGCGTGGACAGACGCAGACCCCTGCAAAATGGCCATCTCGTGCCCCTGCTGCATCTTCCTGTTTCAGTCCAACTGCTGAAGCCCAACAACATTTGTTGGCCCAATGTGCCTCCACGAGCTCCAACTCTTGGCAGTGGAGCTGGAGCCTTCCCTCAATGTCCACCGCCGCCGCCGCCACACATCACCCGCTCCGCTCCCCCTGGCGCCGCTCACGCACCCACGCCGACCTCACTGCCGTGTGCCGTCCGTCTACAAGCAAATGCGCCCCGATGCCAGCAGCGAGCTTGACCACGCCTTTGCCCGCCGGCTGCTGTGGCCGCCTACTGGCCTCGCTTGCAGCGCCTCACGTCCTCACCAGGCACCAAGCTCCCCAGTGCTCCCACAGAACTCCACCAAGGGGCACAACCGCAGAACGCACAAGGTGGAGGCCGTCGGCCCCTTTCCATGGATGGCCAAGGCAAGTTGCAAGGTGACTCGAAGGGCTGCTCCTGAAGACCAATCAGATCGAGGAGCGCCCAACGCTCCCTCTCTTAGTTATTCTTACATGTTACAGCATCCTTTAAGCTGAGCAAACACTTTTCACTCATCTCCCTGCTTGATAGTGCAAATCAAAGTGTGATTGAGTGATTCCAAGTGTATTTGCTGGAGTGATTGTATCTAGTAGTACTTAAGGATTGATTTGTTGCAGTTTTCTTGTTACTTTTGGCATTTGCCGACGCCTAGACGACTTGGAGCAGCGGAGGAGTGTTGATAAGAGTTGATGATTGTTCTTGGCCACCTTTGGTGATTTGTGAGGGGTTCTTGTGTCTTCCCCGGTGGAGCGGCAAATGCAACTCTAGTGGATTGATCATAACTTGTAAATCCACATCTTGTGTTGATTGTGCGGCATCCGATTGCGGGTTAGGCGTGTGATACCTATTAGCGCGTGAACTTCTAAGTGGGTGAATCGCTACAACGAGGTCGTAGCTTGCTGGCAAGCAAGTAAACCTTGGGGATAAATCATTAAGTCATCATTGTCTCCGGGTTTCATCTTGTGATTGATTGATTATCTATTGCCACGGCGGTATAAATATCACTACCTCTCTTGTATTTACTTTCCTAATGTAGCTAAGCTCTTTAGTCTAATTAGTTTTAAGAGCTAGCTTATGTCTTGTCTATTGGTTGGTGAGGTTGTTTAGTTAGCCTTTGAGAGCTCACTAACTTAGAGAGTAGTGACTTAGCCTCTTGTGTGAATTAGAGATCATAGCAACTAGAATTGTGGATATGAGGCTTGCATTTTTAGTAGACTAGCGCAATACTTGATTCGTCGTTTAATTATCTAATCACTTGGCTTAGGTGTTGTTGTAAAAAATTTATAGGCTATTCACCCTCCTCTAGCCATTTAGGACATTTCACTTAGTCTACTCCTTCATGAAGATCATTGCATTGCAAAGGTCATGGCAATGCACCGGCGACCCACATGAGTAGTTTGATCTCCAAGAGCCAGAGCGCCTTCATTAAAAAAGAAGCATCCATGACAACTTCATGTTTGTTCGATGCGTTGTGCGTCGATTCCATAGATTCAGACACCTGCCCTGTTTTTCAAGCTCGACATCTCAAAGGCTTTTGACTCGGTCCGTTGGGAGTACCTGCTCACCCTGATGAACAAGCTCGGCTTCCCCCCAAAATGGAGAGAGTGGGTGGCTGCCCTGTTGTCAACGTCATCTTCTCGAATCCTGCTAAATGGTGTGCCCAATGCACCAATCAAATACGGCAAGGGATTGCGCCTGGGCGATCCTCTTTCACCATTGCTATTCGTCATAGCCATCGATCTGCTGCAAAAAATCCTAGACCTTGTGAGAAAAGAACGACATTTGACAAAATTCAGAGGAAAACAATCTATCATGCGGACATCCATATATGCGGATGACACGGCAATCTTGGTCAAGCCATATAAGAAGGATGTCACTGCGCTCGCTAATATTCTCGCCAAGTCGGCGAAGTGTCAGGACTCAAAACAAATTTTCAGAAGTCATCCGTCATCCCCATAAGATGCCAAGGTGTTGATCTAGATGAGGTCCTGCGTGATTTCCGTGCAAGACGAGCGCACTTCCCAACTAAATACTTGGGTCTACCTCTATCAAGCACCAAATTGTGGAGGA